AAAAAAATTGATCCGTTCACTTGTCTAAAATCCATTTTTTAGAACACTAACTTTCTTTTCATCAATAATAGTACGTTATTCTGCAATATGTATCATTTTTGGGACATTACTAAAAAAAAACAGTACGTTATGTTGCGATTGTATCATCTTTAGGACATTAATCCCCAAAAAATAATAAATTATTTTTACGATAATGTCCTAATATTGGTGATACAAATTGCTACACAACGCACGGATATTGACGAGGGAAAGTTATTGTCCAAAAAAAAAAAACTTCATACAAGTAAACGGAACAAAATTAAATTTTTTCCGAATATTTATATTGAAATTTGATGTACTTTTTTGTGAAAACCGCTTGGAGTAGGTCGTTTCTGGTGATCATTCTGTTTCAATAACCATACTTGCTAAAACTGCTGTTTGATATATCAACTACAGGATATATAAACGTTTCAATGTGTACGTTAATTTAAATAAAGCATGCATGTGTTAATGGATCGTACTATATTCTCTCAGAAAAAAAAAATAAAAATAAAATAAAATAAAATAGATCTCAATACTATGGAAAAAGGGAAAATAAATTACATTCTTGATAGATCATACTATGCGATTATAGCAGCTCTCAAATAGCATATACATATTGATCGTACAACTCTCTTATAAAGGATTAAGTAAATATTCGCCATAGCCGCGTGCGGAGGTAATTTAAGTACATCCCTTGATAAATAATTAGGCTGCACGAAACGAAACCCGTGAGTTAGTTCAAATATCTCATATTTAATGGCCTTATTTGATATATTTGAAGAAAAATGACAAGGCATTAATTAGGTCCCGTTGAACTATTCAGTCGGGGTTTTTAACCGTTAGATCATCTATCCCCGACAGTTACAAACTCCGACGGAATAGTTCTGTAACGAGACCGTAACATCTCTAACTAATATTATGTCCAAATAAGAGAACAACCAGTTCAGGACAAATGCGTCTCAACTGAAGCTATCAAGGTTGGCAAAATGAGAGTTTGAGTTGAGGCAGAGAGTATCTTCATTGATCTTGGAGAACAAGTGGGCCCAGTTTATCCAATATAATATTAATTAATAAATTAGGTATGTAATATATGATATGAAGACAAGATCTAGTGAGCACATGAGCAGAGGAATGTTATCCTATTATGATTGAGATTAGATCTCACGTGGCCACTTTTGAGTCAAGATAACTTATGAAGTGATTTGGTCATATATATAGGATCAACTATTTTGTTTTTTCATATATGTATATATTATTTATATGTATATATTTTTGAAAGTTCAAATATTTACTAACACTTATTATTATTTATTATTATTATTATTATTATTATTATTATTATTATTATTATTATTATTATTATTATTATTATTTACCTTTGCTTAAAAATCAACGGTTGAACGGGTTTGGTCGATAAATTGGGAAGGGAAAATTTCCGGACTCGATACGCTCGAGGTCCTCGACAAGGACCTCGTAATGCCTTTTGACTTCTTCGGCAGATTTTCCAGACACGGCCCGAGCAATGTTGTGCCAACGGTCGGGAGTGTCCTTGTCGTAAATGGCTAGAGCCTTCTCGAATTGTTTGTTTTGCATTTGCGTCCAGGACGAAGAAGAAGAAGAAGAAGAAGAAGAAGAAAGTGAATTTGATGCCATTGTATATATGATATTTTAATTTGAAAGAAGTGAACTATAGAAATCTATATGAGGGAACTATATTGTGGCGGTTCCTTATAAATATAAGAGGAGAAGTGGTGGGGTGGTTTCTGGCGAGTTGAGGGAATAAATATTTTTTTGAAAGGACGGAATATGGAGTGACTCTACCATGTTAAATACCACATATATATATAAAGAATGAGAGAAGAGAATCCAGAATTTTAGGATTTTCATGTTGTTTGTGTCGTCATGTTTACACTATCGACCTAAATAGCAATGGTAGTTGCTAATTGGGTCCGATAAACAGATATTATATCTACTCTATTACCATGACTTTAGTGTATATAATAGTATTTTAAAGTTATGTTTACACTACAAACGTATTTTAAAGTTAATAACTTTCATCAGATGTTCATATATGATATATCAAATTCATGGTTTAAGAGTTTCATTTTGATTCCATATTGCATAAATAATAAAAAATATATTTACCTTTATAAAAAAAACTAAAAAATTATTAATATTAGTTGAAAATTAGAAAAAAAAAAAGTATCTATCAATCTCATTATGTAGTACAACATTTTTTTTTTTTAAAAAAAAAAGTTATTATATATTATTAATTAAAAATCATTATAATGTTAGCAATGATGAGTGTTATTTTGAATATAAATAATTAATAATCTAAATTTGTAAGAATGATTTAAAACTTAAACTAAAAACATCCCTTTATGTATACTTATATAAACTAGTACGAATCCCGTATGATACAACGAGTAAGAGATACTTATAATACTTATATTAGAAAATCTCATTAAATAATATTATGAATTAAAAATATGGAATTTACCTATATTAATTTATTAAAAATGTTATATGAAATGTGAATTTTATAAAATCACATAAAACATGTCTATTTAAAATTATTACACAACCCGTTTGTAGCACGTAATTGATAATAAATTACATTATATTCATTTCAAAATAAGTGTCATTTTAAAATATTTATTCATAAATTTGATTAGTCAACAATGTGATTGAATAAAATAATTATTTTGGTAGAATTTTATCATATATTGAAACATCTATGTGAATAATAAGTATAATTATAAAACTTATATTGTTACATTAATTTAAATTAATTTATATTTTTTTTTGGTAAAAAATTAATTTATATTTGTATAAACTATCCAAATCAAAAAATATAAGTAGTTGACTAATTTATTAAAATATAAATAAATAACTATTCCATTTACTTCCAAGTAAATATTGACGGCAAGCTATGAATAATTTACTTATTTAAATTTAATTTTGAAACTCAAATTTGGACTACACAGTAAATTTCTTTATATATATTTTTTTTTAGATTTGTTGTCGGTTACCTTATTGTATAAATTTATCAACTAATCTAATACAATTCTCGCACCCCGACCGGCTGGAAACCGCCTCGAGCTCGCCCTCCTCGCCGGTAGGACACAGAATCTGCACGTAACTCTTACATCGGAGGGGTTTTCCGGTGAAGAGCCTCCAACGCTCAAGTCAGTTCTTGAGAAGATGAGTAGAATATGTGTAAAAATATGTAAGTATGAGAGATTTTTTTTAAAATCAGAGTTCTCGTCCCTATTTATAGGGACGAGCTACCTGTTGTCACGCGCGGCTTCAGCGAGTCGACCTCTCTTCCCTCATGCTCGTCCGTACAGTCACCCGCCTCCACTATCTCGGTGTCAAAAAACGCGTCACCGTGTGTCAGGGAATGTCAGAAACTGTTATCGCCTTGGACGACTCATTGCGCGCCGCGTGTCCCCCTTCCACGTGCTGGGGATTCCCTTATATATTCCGCTATTCGACCAAGCCTGGAGTAGTTGCTGAGTTGTCTCTAAAGTGCGAAGTGGTCAATTCCACGACCACGCCTATCTGACCATCTTTCATCGACCAGATCCTCGAGCAGCCAGTGCTTGTCTGATACTATTGAACCCGCTCTTCCTCGTCATCTACCTTCTTTCCTTTATTACGGAAGTCCGGTTCAGTTCGACCAGACTGCTTATCTATTTTATTCGGCTGACCCAACGAACCGGTCCAGTATATAATATCCTATATCACTTAGTCCCCCCACTCTGGTCGAGTCTGAATGACTCGACCTAAGAGTAGACTTTGTCCATGTTTCCGAGCTCCGCTCTGCCCGTTTCGACCAGCTGCTGCACTTTTTTTCCTCGACCCTTTTCACCGTAACTGCCACTTTGCATTTTGAATTTCAAATCTCACCGCTTGTCCGCCTTTTCAGACGCGCATCCCTTCATATGTCAGGCTTCATCATTACCCTGTGATTTGTGATGCCTCGAATCTCGCATCCACTTTAACACTCCTCCTCTGACGGTCGTTAGATCTATCACTTTGATCTTGCGGTTGACATTTTTACGCCTGTTCACCTATCCCTTGATCGTGACCCTTGAAATTTCATGATCCAAAGGTTGAAGATCTTCCCTTCTCATTCTCATCTACTATAAATATTCTAATTCCAACACTTAGAAGTTTTTTACCTTCACGCAATTTGGCATTATATTGCGATACAGATCTCTTGCAATTTTCGAGCTTCCTACAACCTCGGATTTCTTCGAGCTCTGCACCATCCACGATGAGTAAGTTTTCTTTGATCTCTGGATTTATGTTTATTGAATTTTTGAATTTCACTTTTTTTCTCTTCTCGTTTCTCCTCGCGCCTTGCGCTTTCGACCTTCGTCTTCCCGCTGTGCCATCCTCAATCCTTCTTCCTCTTTCTCTTTCTAGTTTTTGCTTAACTTTTTCTCTTTCTTCTCCAGATTCTGCTACTTCAAGCGAAAATAATCGGTACAGCGGGAAGGACATGACCCCTCCCTCTTCTTCTCCGACCACTAGCTTGTCGAGCGATTCTCTGCAAGAAATCCTCCAACCCGAACCCATTAGCATCATCCGACCAACCATTATCACAGCAGTCCTTCTGCCGAGGCTGTTTCCACTTCTTCATATTTGGTCGACCAGACCGAGGAAGATGTCACCAGCCATCCTCTTTTTCCACCCACCGAACGTCTCGTCGATCCATTGGTCAAGACGATGAGGTCGATGATGAAGATGATCCTCAGGATACGATCCCTCTATCAGCCCGGGATCCTAAGGATTTTGTCCCATTGTCCCCTTTGCCTTCCGAGAAATCCAAGTCTTCCCCTCTGCCCAACTCCAACCGTCTCGACTTCGACCTAATTGGTCATCCCGGTGCTTTTTATACTCTTGGTGATGACGACACTTATGATAATCCTCTGCCCAACTCATACACCTTCTTCCGTGCCCATTTCGACCTAGATTTGCGCTTCCTCATCTGCCAAGCTTTGATCGATTTTTGTGGCCTATACGGTTTAGCCTTGAATCAACTTCCCCCCAATGCTTTTAGGATTTTGACAACTTTTATTATCCTTTCTATCGTCCGTATGGGTCGAGTAGACCTAGATTTTTTTTGTTTATTGTTACCTGGCTTCCAAACAAGCCGATGGCTTGTACTTGAAGAGCCAAAATAACACTTGTGTCATAGTCGATCGACCATCCAAAGTCCCAAGATGGAAAGACAGTTTGTGTACATAACACCAAAACAACCTTATCCTTGGGCGCCCATTCCATGACTCAAAGAGGTGCCTATCAAACGTTCTACCCCTCCTTCGAATCCCATTTTCGACCGTCGGATACTTGTGTGGAACTCAAACCCTGTCGCCTCCTCTCTTCTGCTTAAGGACGAGAATCTTCTTTACTATTGTGGCATCCTTACCCGTAGACCTCTCTCTCCTCCTGTCGCCGAAACCCTCCTCCGAATATGCGTCGACCCAGACCTCGCGGAACTCAACAAGAAAACTCGAGCAAGATCTCGAATCGACATTGTTATCCCCATCACATCCTTGTGTCCCTCACTTCTTTTGTTGTCGATCATATTTTTATTAAC